TCTGCGTTTAAGGCAACTTGTATGAAGGGATGTATTGTTTTTTATTTCGTATACAATTAGTTGCGATAGATTTTTCCCCTGTTGGTAATTTGCTAACAACAATTGCCCTGTTTTCGCTAACTAATAGGTTAAATTAGTTTGCAATGTTGCTTTTGGCTACAACTGAGTTGGCATATGCATGTGAAATAGTCCTGTAGCGAAAAGTGTCACACGGCTGCAGTGTGAACCAGCGCCTGAGGTATCTCCGTGCAACATTTGCTCTTGATAGAGACCTTGACGTTGATATAATAATTACAAATCATCACAAAATAACATTGATGTGGAAGGCAATTCACTACCACAGCTGCTTAGCCCGACGTTCGCAATTATTAATGTTACAAAAGTCGACCCGACCACCGTTTCAACATATGCATTCAAATTACTGAATATGTGTGTGTGTGTGTTTTTTTTTAATTTTTGCAAAGTATACACTTCACGATTCACGCACTTCACGTTACAACTACCGTTAGGTTACTCGCTCCGCACTAAACTAAACATTCGAATGGTGCCTTCCTCAGAAAATTTCCTCGACTGGCATAAAAGTAACAGCATCATATTGGTCACATGCGCAATGTGAATTCGGGCAGCTGTCAAATGGGCAGCTGTTATGAGACAAGCTTTGATACGTCTCAGTAGGTCAGTGGAAGTTGAGCGAACTTTGTATTCAGAATTCAGCTGTTGTAAAACCAAAAAACCTGTTGCTCTCGTCGGAAGCTTTTCATTGCAATGAGGAAAGCGCTGTCGTCCAAACGGTGTAATATTCCTTTAAAAAAGTTTAGTGGTTTGTGAAAATGGTTTGTTCGAAACAACCCACGTTAAAGTTTCTTCAATATTTAATACAGTAAAATCTCGCTAATCCGGATAATCATGTTTTTTAATGTTTTCAATTTAGTGAACATTTGCAAAAATATGAACTTTATTTTTGTAAATAGGTAACATTTTCATTCAAATAGATAAAGTGTTGTGTGGCCTCTTTATAGAAGGCGTTGTGGAAAATAATAATCTGACAAATAGATCTAATAGATAGATAAATAAATAAATAACATGAAAGTACAACTACTTCTCTTGGATATGGAATGATTTTCTCAATTTTTAGTGTTTGGCCTGCTAAATATTGAGTATTAAATATTATTTCTGCAAAAATCGGAAAGCCAGATTAATTTTCGCAAAAACACGTATTAATTGGAATCCGACTCAGTGGAGGAATATTATGTTTCTGATGAATTAGAACAATTTTAAAAAGCTCAGACACTAAAAAATGACAGTGAGAAGATCAAATCAAATAAAGGCTCAAACCTCAGTATTGCAAGTGTACTTGGAAGCATAGAAGGTGGTCAATATTGGTAGGGGGATGTTCTTCTTTTAATGGAGTTCGACATATTTACGAGATTTATAATATAATGGATCTGATTGTTTATATAAATGTGCTGAAAACGCAAACTCTTCCAAAAACATAAACTCTTCCCAAAGGTTCAGGATGCGAGGAAATTGAGCATTATATATATATATATATAGCATTTCCAGATTAAATGAAACCTTTTACAATTAAATGAAATATATATATATATACCTTTATAGCATTTCCAGATTAAATGAAACCTTTTACAAATTAAATGAAACCTTTTCCAAATTATATGAAACCTTTTCCAAATTAAATGAAACCTTTTCCAAATTAAATGAAACCTTTTCCAATTGGAATGAAACCTTTTACAAATAGAATGAAACCTTTTACAAATAGAATGAAACTTTTCCAAATTAAATGAAATTTTTTCCAAATTAAATTAAACCTTTATTCTCATCCAAGGAAATATAATATTTGCAGTAATTTTAAATCAATATTTGAAAATTAAATCAAAGAATAATAACAAATATAGTTGCATGGCTATGTAATTAACATAAATATTCTTTAATTCGGTGTGATTTTATTTAATATCTTTACTACATAAAACTAAATAAATAGTAATACAAACTGGGGTATTTCTTGACATTTTAATAAATAAATATTTTAGAACAAGAATTGAATACCAGGTCCTAAATGCGAAATACATATTTAACTTAAAAAATTGTTGATGATAAGGTAACTGCTTATCTTAATGAAGGGGTTCCCGACTTGCAGCTTGTGGGATTTTCAAAACCATGTCCATAACGTAGTTAGAACAATCTTGCCGAGTAAGCTTTTGAATACTTCGCTCGATTACATCAACAATGTTATGTTCCATTGAAACGTCACACAGCTCAGCTCATGCACATATTTTTATTTTTGAAAATGTATTTTCGATTGGATTTAGCATTGGAGAATAAGGCGGTAAGAATTTAAGGTTGCGTCTTTTGGATTCGATCAAATTTTTTATGTCATGTCGCTTGTGTATTTGAGCGTTATCCATTATCAAGAACGAATTTTCCAACTCTAAATTGATTTTCTCCAAAAGACTTTCTATAAATAATTTAAATCTGTCTGCATTGACACTGGAATTAGAAACTATTGTGTGATGTACAACTCCCGCGTTGTTTATTGCTGCAATTAGAGTGACATTACCTCTGACCGTAGGTAACACAATGTGTGCTCTTGTTCCTTGTCTTGAACGGGCTTGGGTTCTTCGTAGGTGAACATTAAATCCACACTCATCAATGAATATTAATTTTTCTCATTGTTGGGGTATCCATTTTGTAATGTCTTGAGCATATTTTTGTCTGAAGCCTAATGTTCTGGAGTCATTCATTCGTTCTATTTCAATAGAGGCCATCTTCCTCAGGTTCCCAATTATCAGAGCTTCCCGAGCTAAAATCAGGTTCGCTCATAATTAGTTAATTTTATTGTGTATGGCTACCTATACAAAACACTACTAATTCAATTTGTAAAACATGCACCATAACTTCATTTATAACGGTACATTTTTCTTTAATTTTCTTTTTTTTTAATTTTATTCATATTAGCACAAAGAGAATTATAATAATTTATAGTTCGAAGAGAAGATCGAAAAATGATCTCTTATAATAGATCATTTATTTTAATCGTTGATATGCCAAAGTTAAAGTATTTTTAAATACAGTGAACTCTCGATAATGTGAACATCCAAAACAGTGCACTCTCGATAATGTGAGCACTCAAACTGACATTAAATTATTGAAAAAATCAGGTAATTAGCGGCAAATAAGCTGGTCGAACAGAAAATATGAACAACCCCGACGTTAATTAGCTCACATTATCGAGAGTGCACTGTTTTGGATGTTCACATTATTAAAAAATACTTTAACTTTGGCAGACAGATTTAAATTATTTATAGAAAGTCTTTTGGAGAAAATCAATTTAGAGTTGGAAAATTCGTTCTTGATAATGGATAACGCTCAAATACACAAGTGGCATGACATAAAAAAAATAAAAATATGTGCAAGAGCTGAGCTGTGTGACGTTTCAATGGAACATAACATTGTTGATGTAATCGAGCGAAGTATTCGAAAGCTTACTCGGCAAGATTGTTCTAACTACGTTATGGATATGGTTTTGAAAATCCCACAAGCTGCAAGTCGGGAACCCCTTCATTAAGATAAGCAGTTACCTTATCATCAACAATTTATTAAGTCAAATATGTATTTCGCATTTAGGACCTGGTATTCAATTCTTGTTCTAAAATATTTATTTATTAAAATGTCAAGAAATACCCCAGTTTGTATTACTATTTATTTAGTTTTATGTAGTAAAGATATTAAATAAAATCACACCGAATTAAAGAATATTTATGTTAATTACATAGCCATGCAACTATATTTGTTATTATTCTTTGATTTAAATTTCAAATATTGATTTAAAATTACTGCAAATATTATATTTCCTTGGATGAGAATAAAGGTTTCATTTAATTTGGAAAAAGTTTCATTCTATTTGTAAAAGGTTTCATTCTATTTGTAAAAGGTTTCATTCCAATTGGAAAAGGTTTCATTTAATTTGGAAAAGGTTTCATTTAATTTGGAAAAGGTTTCATTTAATTTGTAAAAGGTTTCATTTAATCTGGAAATGCTATATATATATATATATATTAAATGCCACGTATGTGTGCTGCCGTAATCAAATTTGGTCAATTTAGTTTTCCATAGACAATTGTTTATTTTGAAAAATGTTTGCGTTTATATTTGTTGTTGTTTTTTAAGTGAATATATCATCTTTTTATTTCTGAAAAAAACTTCATCTTGAAAAAGGTTATAGGCCATATTTTCTCTTTGCAATTTCAGTTGCTTTAGTTGTGGCCACCAGTTTATACGGCATAGAATGCATATAAAAATGAATATTCCAAGGATTTACAAATGGGATAACAAAGTCAATATGTCCTCCGTCAATGGATTGAGACTATACTAAAACGTTCATATTGTCCAGTGCATTCTATCATTTCGCTTCATAATTAGAAATTCGAATACCAAACGCAACTGCAAAGATCTCTGAAATTTTCGAATGCGATGCAGTGACCTCTAGAATGTCATATTTAGTTACTCAGCCTGTAAAACATTGCATGTTCCTGGGTAAGTACGACAGCACCTAGCCAACATGCAGCGACCAACACACCGTAAGAGTTAGTGAAAACTGCCTTGGGTCACATCAACGTTGAGGCAAAGCATACGAAGTGCAACATAAACTAAACAAATGTAATGGCTCGCAGAAACGGGAAGAGTGAAGCCAAATACGAAACCATGTCCGGAATGATAGAGGCGCAGCAGCCGAAGGGACGGAGAAAATTCAAAATACGCGTCCTTTCTTTACTTGTCAATTCTATCGAGAAGCGACAAATGCGAGTTGATGATGATGAAACTACATTTGGCCGAGTGCAGATAAACACACAATTGCAAGACCCGAGCATGGCACAGTGGTACTGTCGACTTGGCCTATTGCCGTCATTTGGCAAGTCTCTGCCAGTTAAATGTCAAGCAGCACATTCGACTTAAAATTTGTAATAGAGAGCTTTGTCACTTACCTGGGCTCGAATAGCAGAGAGATGCAATTGTTTGGCACGTAAATCAAATTTGCTCATTGAAAGGTCCTCCTGCGTTTCGTTGACTTTGTTGAATAACTGCCCCTCAATTCCACGTATTTGTTGGCGGCTTAAGATATCAATGGCGTCCTAAAGCAAATAGACGAGACAACAAACGGCAATGGGCTCCGGCAAAACCAATGAAATGTAAAGCTGTTTTATTTGCATTACCTGTAGCTGTTTAATTTGCATTTCCAAATCCAGTGCCTCTCTTTTCAAGGATTCCAATGCCGCTCGAAGTGATACCGACGAATGACGATCAAAAATCAATTCGTTGCGTAGTAGTGGCGCCACATCCTTGATTAAGAAATAAAGCGTGAACAAAATATTCGATTCCGTTGAAATCTACATGTATGGGGGAGCTCACAAACACACTTCAATTGATCTGTACATAAAACCACCCTTCTTGTGTTTTGTTACAGTTGCTGCTGTGGGTTATTTCGATTACTACCTCTCACGATATAAAATACTTACGCTATTGTCCGCATTTTCCTCTTGATCTACCGGGCCCGGGGGAGCAAACGGCCGTTTTTGTACTCTCTGGGCGATAGCTGGTATTGGCGGCAGGATTCGCACAAAATTTACTAAATCCTGAACAGGAGAAACATTCGCACACTGGCTGGTTAAATTTGAGTACCGGCTAGCCTGATCAGATGCCTGTAAAATGTGACATAGCACGTTAATACACTTTTAAATAGTAAATCTTATCCATAATTTCTTCAATAAAAATACAAGTTAAATTTGCTTTCATCAGCAAAAATGGCAGATTTCTAAAATCCTTTTTCCATGTTTTTTTTTTTTTTTGTGGTTTTGGTTTTTATAAATGGCTTTTTCAGGGGAATTGTTTCTGGGTTACATTTCTTCTCCAGATATTTCTCTGCGATTTCAGCAAGTTTGGATGCACTTAGCATTGGATTATCAGTCACTAGTCGGAGCAACTACTTTTCGTCTCTTAAATTGAATATGTTTTTCTCACTGGTTTCGGCTTGTTGCAAATTCGATTCACTCCTTGTTGAACTCATTAGAATCAACAGGTTGCTTCTTAACGTTCAAAAAACGAAACTATTGCGATTTAGAACGCAATCGTATCATAATATAATTCCGTTTAGCATCAATTTTGATGGAAATGTAGTAAAAGAGGTAAATAATGTAACATATACATATACTCGGTTTTGTGCCTCAATGCATTTTTTGGACAGAAGATCGAGTAATATTGAGTAATCCCCTGTTTTTCATTGCGATTTTCCTAGTTCATGATGGTGAAGAACTAATTTACTCTCGGCAATCGTTGTCTGGCGTCCCATGGTCATGGGTATCCAAATAAGCAAACTCACGCGTATAGTGTTTACACATTTCTGATACAATATTGAACTTGATGTTCCATGAGAAGATTGACTTTCAAACGTCAATGGTTGCAATTGCTTTTGCTTTACAATCATTATTTTTTATATTGAACTCACATAAAAATGATATGGTTTATAGCGTTAATTTGAAGTTGAGATGTTCGCGTTCACATTTATAAAGCAATAAAATATTGTATATAATATTAAAATGCGCTTATGCCATTTCTATAATGAAAAACAAAAAAGCAAGTGGATACTTTTGACTGTGACCCACCGCACAAACGGTAAGTACAAACAATATCCGGAAATGGTTGCCGGCTTACTTACCTTGTTGGCTATCACATCAGCGCCTTGTTGTATTGAGTCGGCAATAATACTGCATAAGTCGTTGTGGATGTCCTCCAGTTCCTGCATCAGCTGTGGCACCGTCTCACACTGGAACGTCTCGAGCATGGCATTTGTGGCATGCAATTGTTGCACGTACGCATTGTGGGCATCTATGTATTCAGTTAGCGATTGTGGGGTAGCACTTTGACGGTGTGCCATATAGCATTGCTTGTAGTCGAGACGGCACTGCAAGCAACAAAAAACAGAGTAGACAAGATATCAAGAAATGTCTATTTATGCCTAAAATGTCCGAACATGCCTAAAATGCTCGATTTTGTGCATACTTCTGTGTAAAACATGACAAAATTTTTATTCTAAGACCTATATATGGGAAATTACAAAAGTCTTTTAATTTCCTTGAAACTAAGGTTTGCAAGCTTTAACTCGCGAAATATGAACATATTGAATATAATTTAAATTCATTTCTATAAAATGAAGTGTTCTTGTCAAAATCTTAAAATATTGGTAATAAATAAAAGGTTGCGTGGAAGCTGTGATGGTGGTAATGTAAAAAAAGGGTGAAAATGTGTTGAAGCCAACGAGTTTTTTTGTGTTCCTTCCTGATTTGTGGCTAAACTACACAACGCACGCACACGTGATCAGTGACTAAGTTGCAGAATACCCCATGGACAATATGGTTCTAATATATAATTTTTCCATATAATCACTGCATCCACCCAAAACGCCTGCTGACATTTTGAAGCCGGATTTTCGGTGTTTTTTTTTAATTTTTCTAATAATCAGGACGCGCAACCGGATAATGGACTAAACTAATTATAGGACTGTAGAACTCGTGATTTTGCTGCGTTTAGTGTATATCTCATGAATGTGCTCACCGTAGCTTCTTTGCAATTGGTGCGTAAATTTTTATAAAAAACATATTTTTTGAGTCTAAATTTAAGAAAGTCCATTCAAATACCGTGGAACACCGCGTGATTTTAGTTTTTTTTTACATGCCGGAACTAATGAACCCAGCCATGTTCAATTCCGCCCAATAAAACGGTGGATATGGGTACCTTGAATGTGGGAAAAACTGCAAAAACTTATTTTGACAAATTCGCGTATATAATCGCGTTTTTCTTCGAATTTGTTTACATACATTCATGTTTGTTTCATCATATACGCGAATTTGTATGAAAATAGGTCAAAAATACATCGATACGCGAATAATATGCGTATTTTATCCAGTATTGATTGTGGCGGCACATCCGCGGTTCTTAACCAATTCTTTTAAAATTGGTGTACCTTTGTGTATTTTCATCGGAGATTACTGAAATCTGATGCGCATAAAAATCTTATGCACGTTGCGTCATTTTTGGCCATTTTAGTGGTTTTGCATAGTAAAGTGCATCGAGCGGCATACTTTGCCCGCTAAATGAAACCTTGAAAAATGCATAATTATTGGAAGAGATTGATTCGATTTATACGAGAACCGCATGCCCACCAACTGATTTCAACGAATACGTGAATTGCATCCATTTTAATGTTGATCATTTTCATATACTGTAACTGTAATATATTTGGTCATTTTTGAAGTCAAAACTCTTAACAGGGGAATCTACTCATATTTAAGAATCATCTAAAAGAATTTGAAGAACAAAGCGTCGCATATTTCAGCAGATTAAGGCAAAGCCGTATTCCCTTAACCGTACTAAAAAATCGTAAATTCAAAAAAGTTTTGTTTTGATCAAAAAATGTATTTATTTTATTTTTAGATATTTCCATGCTTTTGTTTGTTTTTCGCGACTATTAAACCATATTTCAATGTGATTTGACCAGTATGCAAAGAAAACAAATGTGTTAATCATTTGTGAAGAAATTCGCGAATTACAACAAATATAAATTCATTAAATTTATGTTTGAAATACAAGATCTAAAACCGCTATAACTTTTGTGCGCAGCATTCGAATTTCTTTTTCAATTTTTTATGGAATTTTAAAAGAATTTTATAATTTCCCATATTTACTCGGATAGTTGCCTAGGTTCAACATTTATATTGGACACATGAAATAAGTTATTAATGCAATGAATATGTCGAATAAGGATATACAGTAGACCATGGATATGACAACATATTATATAAGAAAACCGGACTTAAGAAACTTGTTCCAAAATACAAACACCAATGCCACCGCAATTCCACAAGTCATTTGGCGAGGTATTAATGGTTAGCATACTGACATGCCCGGCTTTCTGAATAAAGTTTTTGAATCGATGAAGTTATATAAATAAAATCGTAGAAATGTGTACATGAGGGTTATGTAAATAGGTCGAATATCTAATTTCTGACTGGGCTTAACCAATATCCCATGCCAAACAATTGAACTTAGCGATACTGAATGTATAGAAGTGCATGTTCCTGGAAATTGTGTTCTATGCAAATAGGTAAATATGCAATTGACACATTTTTAGCAAAATGTGTCATTTGCGTATGCGTTTAAAAAAATTACTTTTCTTATATTAACCGTTCATGATAAGCATATGAGATGTCATAATAATTTTTGGATATTCACTATTTAATAGATTTTTTTAAATATTATTTTAGATAACTTATATTTAAATGTGAAAAAAGTGTTTGTTGTAATGTTGCCAATATCAGTTATTTCTGTTTCTCTATGTTGATTTACAAATGTCCGTCCGTCTGGCCGGCTGGTGCGCACGATAACTCTTGAAGGGGGTATCCGATTTCATAAAAGCTTTGTACATCGTAATAGTTCTACCAAACTTAGTTCAAGTTCGAAAATGGAGAATGTCGGTCCACTCCTACTGGTACCTCCCCCACAAAATGGCCAACATTGTGCTAATAAATTAATTAATTATAAATTTTTATTTAAAGCAAATTTGATCAACATTAAATGCGAATCCTCTTTGATAAAAACATATACCTTACATAATACGAATAATAAAACCTGTTTGTAACTCCGAAGAACACTTTTTTACTTATTTTATTTTAATTCTATTATACATTCATGGTTTCATTCCAATGATCGTAAGTATTAGGTATATGGGCATTTCCGGCAAAAGGTAAACCAAAGTCGAAGAAGTACAAGGACATACCACTTTTATTATTTGTTCTTCCTGTTCTTACCATAAGTACTAATTTAATGGCTATAAATGCAGACACTGCAGAAATAGAAACTGCAAAATCAAAAATGTCGCGTGAGTGACCGAGAAAAATCCTTCGCAAATAATGGATATACCAAATTTTTAAAGTAATAACGCTTGATATCTCTTATTCATATAAAGAATATTAAAAGTTCAAAACTATCACACAATTCGCAGATTTTTTCCATAATTAAGTCGCGTGAGTGATCGCTCTTGTGTGGCTTTTATCTAAAAAATTAAAAACCGGAGGCTCTCAAATTTTTTTAATCCTACGGTCAATAACCGGGTACATTTGTACCTTTTTTTAATAAAAATGCTGTAAAATTTTTAATAATGGAGATGTTTGGATCAAATTTTAAGGAATCATTCTTGAGATATCTTCACACATAATCGAAAGAAAAAATTATAAAAATTTTCCGTATATATAATTTTTACAATTTTTTAAAGTTATTACCTACGTAGATCAATAACCGTGGTACATTTGTACCCATCCAAAGATTGCTCTGTAACTCATTAAAAAATTGGATTATCGTGAAGTTTTTTGTTTTAAATTAGTCTATACGGATCTGATCTAGATGTAGGAACTCAAAATTATATATACATTAAAATAATATATACTTATAATATATACTCCATGCTTAAATGATAATCTATCTAAAACAATCATAGTAAATCCGTTATAGCTTTCGAATAGGTTAAGCTTTTTTAGTTTTTTTATTGGGATCTTATTTAGGTGTTCCTCAACCCCTCTGCAAATTTTTGTGGCCCTAGACAACATGGGCCCATCAGGGCGACTCGTGGAAGTCAGAAACTACCCTAATTTTCCCTTGGTATACAGGGACAAAAACAATGATTATTGTCCGTAATTTCCCAATTATTCTTCATATTGGACCTGAAACTTTTTCTATAATCGAATTAGTCTGATTTATTTCAATCCTAAATTGGCGTACATATATAAACTATCATTAAATAACGTTTTAAAGTATTAAATAATGTTAAAAATGCGCCAATCACAATCTCTCAACTCATAAAATGTTAATAATTGGCAATAATAATTGTTTTAGTCTATGTATACCAAAGGAAAACCAAGGTAGTTTCTGATTTCCACGAGTCGCCCTGATGGCCCCATGTTGTCTAGGGCCACAAACATTTGCAGAGGGGTTGAGGAACACCTAAATAAGATCCCAATAAAAAAATAACTAAAAAAGCTTAACCCATTCGAAAGCTATAACGGATTTACTATGATTGTTTTAGATAGATTATCATTTAAGCATGGATTTAAGTATATATTATTTTAATGTATATATAATTTTGAGTTCCTACATCTAGATCAGATCGGTAAAAACTAATTTCAAACAAAAAACCTCACGATAGTCCAATTTTTTAATAAGTTACAGAGCTATCTTTGGGTGGGTACAAATGTACCACGGTTATTGATCTACGTATACTTTTTTGGTTATTGACCGTAGGGTTAAACAGAAACTCTAACCCGTAGCAAATTTTAAACATTTCTTCCAAAAAGGAGTTTAGAATTTTTTATCAGTTCTAGTAAGGAATAATGATTTCTTACTGGATTTTATTGGAGTTGTTCGATAAAGTTTTCCAATGTGTTCGCAAAAGAGAACAAACTCTCTCAACATAAGTTAATGAGGATTTTTTGACTCAATAAGTTTTCGGACAATCTAATATACATTCTTGAAAATAACTGTATATGGTGATACTATTGAAATATTTATTACATTTTTTATATAGTTACATGACGTTTTCGACGTTTGCACCTTTTTGACAGTCGAAACCTAACGATTCGCCACACGGACCATCCCTGCTGATTGTAAATGTTTGATTGGAAACTTGTTGGACAGGAGTCGAATACTTTGTTTTTCTCAAATATAAGGAATTTAACTGGTCCGTTCATTTATACAAGAAAAATATGCGTTCAGTACATATGTATTTTTGCTTTCAATGTTGAAATAAATAGAATGTTACAACTACCAATTTCAGCTTACTGGCCAGTTGAGGTTACGAAGTATTCAATACAATACGCAGAATTTCCAAAATTTAATATGGATATATTTGTTGGATGAAGAATAAAAACAAATTTATATACACCAAATTCATCAGCCGCTAGAAGCCGAAGTTTTCATTTTAAGCATGATTAAAACCGCATTCGTAGAAATTATGTCTAGCCGTGTTCATTGTGTTTGTTTGCATACTCATTAGAAAACTGCATACTCCTTATTGTTACAATATTGAACTGTCAGTTTTCTAATGAGTATTGTTTTGCGCCAATGTCACTTGGCAGCATTGTTGTTATTATTCTTGGGCTTCTCGTCACGATCGCTTCGTAACACAGGTAATCTGTTCTTTCTCTTTATCTTCCCCTATTATTATTTATATTTAATATATCAATAAAATTCTGGAATCAGAAACTAAAACGTTCGTATTTTATTTCTTTCCCTTTTTCGAAACGCAATTTCGGCGCCTTTACATTTGTAATAAAATTTAAAAAATAGTGTAGTGTATGAAAACAGAATATTAGTTAAAGAATCATCCCCCGGACTAATTGGGTCAAAGGTTATGAGTTTTATTTTATGACGGAAAAAATAAAACTCCTGAAATTATTTTTATTTTTGACGTGTTTTATTTCTGATCTTTGTCTCCAAATGTTCGTGAGGGTCTAGGGAAGGTTTAAAAGGTGAGAAAAAAATCGAAAATCGCGAAATTTTTGCAAAATAAATATTATGCAGCCTATTTGCATTTCCACGAATTTAGTATCGAGCTATTTTGATAGCAGCACGTCGTAGTTGCTATTTTGAGATGTTTTGGGCGAAAATTGATAGCGTATCATTCCTTTAAGCCTACTTTTGTCAATTATTGAACAATTTCAAAATATTTAGTTTTTTCAATTGGATTGGCATTGTTTTGAAACATTTGTTGAGACAATATAAAAAATAATTGAGAAGTATATCGGTGAATGTACACGCGATCATTGTATGTACAAATCTATCATTAAGCTCAGCTGGAAAGAGATCAATTAACAAAAAATAGAATAAATGAAATAGTAAGAATAGCCTCCGTCCGATGTTACCTATTCGTATTGAACATATCAATGTTCATTCACAGAAATCCGTTATGCCTAATTGTAGCCAACTCTATTAACAAATTCGGTCAATGTCTTTATAATACCGAAAATGGGGTGAGACCTGTACGTATTTCTATAACAAAACTTGGACCCAAATATTCGCAAAAATGTGTCTCCTCCCCCATTATCCCGGAATGACATACTTTATCTACTACAATGGGAATAGAAATACATTAGTTTTTGGTAGGAAAATTTGACCCCCACATGACAAATTATGGGGGATACCCAATTACAATTGATTAGGTTGATAAGAGTGCCCAAAACCCCAAAGGATCGTATAAGATGGAGTGCCAATATATGGAGTCTTTGGCAAAGCTTGGGCAAATGTTGTTAGGAACATTTTCTACTCAATGATCATCCAAAATATAAAAGTACAGCCAAATGCCGAATATTAAGGGGTTACGCGGATACATGGACCAATATTGACAATTTCAAGTATATAGATTTTCTGCTCATCAAGAATACCTTATATTTAATTAAAAGCAATTCTGTTGAAAATCGTGCCAAAGATATTTAATGTAAGGACTGTTTGAGCCTACCATTATATGGGAGGTACCTCGAAACATGTACCAATATTGATAATATTTGCTACAGACACTTTCTGCTCAATTACAACCTATTCTGTTGAAAAGAAAGAAAGAAAGCGGTCAATAGTGTCACGAAACTCGAATTATAAGAAAATGTGTAAACATTTTTAGACCTCAATACATTTTCAATACGACTTCACTAAAATATACATTGATAAAAGTTTTCAAAATATAGATGACAGATAATAGAAATAGAGGACCTATATTTTATAGATGACAGCCAGTTGAAATAGATGATTGTCCTCCTAAAAAGAGGAGGTATTGTATTGTAAAACTCATGGCCTATTAAATAAGGTCTACCGGGTGGCGAATTAATACTTAGTCTTCTCTTGCTGTCAACATTTTAATCGCGAAATACCAACCAGAACAAGAAAAAAAAAAACTCAAAACTCATCAAACTGACAACGACTGTCCAATCTCAAAAATAAAATGTTTTTTTCATTCATTGCATTGTGTTTGTAATTGATGTCCTTTGGAATGCGTGAACCTATTTTGTTTCGTGCAGACGGTTCCTACAGCAAAGACATAGAACCCGTAAAGAATCGACAAAATGCATTTTGAGAAAATAGATTATGAAGACATATCTAGGGGGAATCAAGCATAACAGGGGCATGTTAAGAATAAAAAGGCCAATACCCGAAAATGTGGAATTTGTCGACGTATCAATGCCGTATCTTTATACTTTTATGTCTTTGCCTACAGCTACTTTAGTGAACACGTGTATTTTCGAAAAACTCAACTACATTCTGTTTCGAAATTCGTTGCAATTCCATTGCAATTTAGTGAGCCCTGTTTTTAAACAAACTTCTGACTTAACAAACATGTGTGTTTATCACTTGTCAAAAAATATCTTACGGAAACTGAAGAGATATCTCGTAGATTCAAAGATGAGACAAACATTTTCGTATGACATTAGATTGCGATACAAAAAAGACGCAATCACCTGACCACACCACACCACACCCCCATTTTTAATATATTTTCCATAAATTGAATTTTTAAATTGTTAATGGTACGAACATCGCTCCAGATTAAAACTTCATTAGTCTTTCCGATCAAACGGAAACGACGTGGATCGGTTACGTAGTACAACAACATAGCTTTGCATGCCTTCGGTGTTTTTTGTATCGTTGTGGCGTGCACCGGTCGGAATAAAATGGATGCGGAGTTTCTTACCTTTGACAATTTCTCTTCAGTCTTGGCAATGATCGTTTCAAAGGACTCTCTGTGTGTAAATATTTTCCGGCTTTGGACTTTACGATGAAAGGATTTGTCGAGCAGTGGTCTTGACACCTGCCAGTGTAAAAGAAACGAAAAAAACATAATTAAAAAGTGATGTCTCGCGTACTCAATGATGACGTATATAAATTGAGATTTTCGTAAACATTAATATATGCATATTGGGGTTATGCCTTGTTATTGCAACCTCGTATCCCGCACCATATTTTGATGATGAGATAAAATCATCATAAACACTGCCGCAAAATTACTTTTATTTTGAGTCTGAGCCACACAAAATGACATAACCGTTTGTATCCCATGAAATGTATTTAATAGTGCAATCATAAAACATTTCAGCGACCCATACAAAAAATGCAATCGATTCGAAATACGATACCAACACTGAATTGTTAATAAAAACGTAAACTTTTTCTCGGTTTCTATGGCCAAAGTCTCGTTTCTTTTTCATATGTTATCATATTGTTACGAATATAACTTTAGATTTTAGTTAATTTAGATGAATTCCGTTAATTTAAGAATTTGAATTGTTACGTAAATTTCTGCTACGCAGTTTATTCGAATAACTTCACAACAACCACTACTGTATTGATTTGTCTACATCCTTCAATTTCCTCTTTCATTGACTATTTTGTTATTGACGTACAATTAATTCTTGGTAAACGTCATCATTGATGATCGCTTAATTCCTCTTTCTTTGTTACTCCCTCGCCTGTATATGTGTTGTTGTTATTGTTCACTCAATGTAAGTTTGTATGTGTTTGTTGCGTTGGTAGATTGTTCGTAATCTAGGTGTTACCAGATCGTCTAGAAACTTCTGTAGCGACAGGCAAGGCTCATATAAATAGGGGAAATGGCAAGGCAGTTAGTCAGTTGTCAAGTAACGTAAAGCTGTAAAGTAAAGTGCAGAGTAAAGTCGTGTCAATAAAATCATTGTAATACTCGTAATCAGAGAGAACCCGCGATTTATTTGGTACGAACTGTATTGGGAAATAAAACAACGTCTACACGGGATTAAGTAAAATCCAAGAACGTATGTGGCTTTTCGTTTTTCATTAAATCATTATTTTGCAAGTAGATTTTGCGGGAACCTTTCAAATAATTATATGGAATAAAGTCATTAGTAGCCAAACGCTTATTCATTCCTGATGCAGTAAATGGTTTCTGAGAAGAAATGCAGACATGCATAACCCCAATGCATATACAGACGTTAATACATAATCACATAAATTGGTATTAGAGAAGTGAACACATCCAATGAAAACAACTCACCTGACGAAATAGAGCGTGAGCAACATCGTTCGATGATTGGGAGTCTGTCTCAACTTCCTGCAGGAATGTTTCCCATGCTTGGAAAATCGATAAATGGCAGGCGGGCCTGCAATTAAACCAGAAGAGACCATTCGCCACAGTCTCACTAGAGTGAATATATGAATGGCGCGCGACTTACCTCTCTTTCCTAAGTTCAGCATTCTTGATACGGTAGTTGGTGACAAGGGTTTGAAGGGCATTTGCATGTTCCTCGTACAAATGGGAAAGGGTTTCGGTGAAATCGGAAACTGAAAATAAAATAAATAAATTTTGGACCGGTGGAAATCTGACCAACTCTAATGGAAATGATGGGGGCTCTGTGGCGACATCGCAATCCTTAATATACCAGTCTAACGCCTTGGCGAGCAGTCAGAAGTCCGTAAAATTCAAAAGCAAAATGTACATATTAAAAATCGGTGTATGATTGGCAAGTTTTTGCCGACAAATTTTCCAAATTTGAAAGAGTACAAACTGATTAATAAATCTTTAGTATGGCAAGCACTATCGTGATTCCAAAATGAATGGACAGAATCGATTCACTTACATATTTGTTGTGTAAAACACACTCATTTATGACATTTCTATGTAATGCTTGTTGACCCAAATCGATATTAAAAAAAAAAAACTAGACTTGGACATCAGCCGCCGACAGTGCCTCTTCTTCCTTTCCAATTTGTCCAGTGCGTCCCTCTCTGACACTTACCAGTTTTAATCAACTTAAAGTTGACATTGTTGTGGGATTTGAAAGCCTCGTTTAAACTACTATGACCATAATCCTTCAGCACACCAGTATGGGAGGCCATACTAGTCTTGGGGCTAGGGGAACTGCGCCCCCTCCACCCAAAGAAATTACGACTTTTTAGACCACTTGAAGATTTTCCCAAGAAATCTATGTTGAATTAAAGAGAGTGTGTTATTAGTACGCAATCGACAGCAAAGCGAACAACAATGTGAACGCAAACAACAAAAAACACGTGGCAAACAATGACAAAGAAAAATAATAACCATAACAAAGTAAAGACACACAACAAAAGTTGAAAAGCAATTTGCACTACTGAACAGCATGACCTTGATGATGACCCTCAAACACTGGAGTTGGTCCCACATGAGATCGACAAGGGAAGAAGCATGCAGACAATGGGAGGACTCAGACAAGATTCAAGGTTCTGCATGGAACGCGCACAATAGAGTTAGTAGCTTTTCAACAGTACAAACAGACAAATTGCAGCAATGGCATGGCATTAGTGAGAGATTAGCCGATATCTCCATAGAGGCATGTTGGAACGTACGGCAGCCGACCAGAGACATCAACACAAGTAATAAACATTAACACCGAATGTTAGCAGGCATGGAATACTCATTGGTTAGACGACTTTAAATGCACTGGCAACCCCTCCACCCTCCACGTCTTTGCGAAAAGGAGCCATTGGAGTGGCCAACAAGAGAGTGGTGGGGCACTTTAGCTTGCTCGATTTTTTTATTTAAAGACTTTTTTATGAAGCTAGATTCGAATTGTAAACAATTTGATTAGAATTTGGTAAGAATTATTTTGGGGGCACCTGTCACCTTTCTGGGGAACACCGCTAGTACTACCACCACTTGCCACACTAACCGAGCCGGGACCCACCGAAGCGGAGCGGAAGTCTCGCGCGGAGTCGTGGTGGTCGGATATCTTGGAACGGACTGCATCTGGTGGTTTAGCTGGCTCTTCCTTGTGAGAGCGCGCGAAGAGACCACCCGAAGGAGTGGCACGCCCCCGGCGTGGCGAGGAGTCATACACACCGGCGTAGTTGTCCAGCGCGGGCGACACTTTGCCCCCGGACGACGACGAGTCATTCGTCGCCGATAACGGACTTTTTGGCTGAAGTTTGTACACCGGCTCGCCAGAGTCGAAAAAAGCATCAAAGTTGCGTTGCCTCAAATTTTCGGTATTGAATACTGGGTTTTCCACCTGCAATTCCAAGTCTTCGCGCAGTCTGTACGATTCCCTCTGATCGCTGGATGTTGACCGGCCCAATCGACCGAGTGGTATATGGAGCTTGGGTCTTAGGCGTGACTTACTAGAAGGCGACTTCTGTGAAGTAGATGGTTCAGGGGGCAGGTCCATAGGTGACATTGGACGACCCCAGCCTGGACCTAAGCGGGGTTGTGTTGGATCTGGTGTGGATGGCTCCAGCAGTATGCTAGGGCTTCGGTCTCTTTGTAGCGACCCCGTCGGGTACTCAAATTCCATTAGAGCCGACGGAGCGGGCACGGACGTATTCTGTACTTGTTGCTGCGTCTGTTGTGAAGAGCGCATGTTCAGATCATTATACATAGGTATTTGGAAGGAAGCAATAGAGGGTATTGTGTTCGGCGGTTCTTCCTCAATCCTACGCAATCCGATGGCGGTTCGATGTACAGGTGTGGATCTTTTCAACGAGGAGCGAGAATTTCGACGAGGAGGTGTAGCTGACGAGGGTGGTGTTGGTGGGGGCAAATGCACCGAGGGATTACTTTGATCACCGATTGCGGACTGCTGTGTTCGAAGGGGGTGGGGATAAAGTGGTGAAACTCCGGATCCCCTCGTTATAAATGGAAGATCGACGACTTGTACTGTATCGCCGAACTCACTTTGATCGTAAACGTTCAAGTTGCTGTCTGGTAATGGAGCGAGGGCTGGAGCAATTACGGAGGGCACTGCACTAGGGAATTTTTGAGAGCTTGGCACGGACTGAGCCAATAACTTCTGAGGTTGTGCTAATTGTGGCGACGAGGGCGGCAAACTTCGGGCAGGTATGACAATGGGAACATGAGGTTCGCGAAGGCAATCAAGTGTAGGTCGTGGACTTATACGAGGTATAGCAGCACCGTATGTCATCAAGATGAGTTCTTCAGCTGGAAATATTACAAACATTCCTGGCCGCCCCCATGTGACATGGCGACTTTGTTTAATTCCCAACTGACTGTCAGCAGCGCCCCACCGAATTCCCCAGCTATGTTTGTGGTCACAAAGATGTCGTTTATATTTTGCTGATGTTCCTCACCTTTCCCAAACAAAAATAAAATATATCTTTTAAAAGTGCACAACGGAAAATAGACAAAATATGTATGTACGTATGCAACAACAGAAGCAGAAATGAAACGAATGGTGGCGACTGAACGATTTAACTTAATTGATCCGCTGTTAGCAGCCAACACTCTGGTCTACGTACTTCTATACTAGAGCTTCCCAAGGCCAGGAAGTATGAACGAAAATTAAAATATCACAATACGTTTCGACTGGTCTGATCTGGTCTGGTCTTGCCTCAAAACATCGATGAAACCGAGTCCATCACAGCTCATATCTGTCGCCTCTCATCGGCATTCGGTCATTTGTAAATCTGCAAAGAAAATAAAACAATTTCAATTTTGAATAATATTTTTGGTAACCTTTTGCGTGCTTTGAGCTGCACACTTCTTTATACATAACTATACACTTGCTCGAAGAAGTATTCGTACACATTCAACTTAACTATTCAAGCTGAAAAATATACTGCCTAAGTGTTCAATGTTTCTAAACATGATATGTTTAAGGTTGTATTTGCTGTTTATTACACTGTGCGATACGAAAATTATTCAGGGGTCCTAATGTACCAATTCTGTTTAGTTGGAGTCCCAGGACCACGAAAATACCTTTGGTTTTTCTGGATCACTTCGAAAATTAATTTTATAACGGTAAATATAGAGAAAAACGTGGTCTCATAGATTTTTAATTACTTATTTACTTTATAACGGATTTATATTATTCTTTTTTCTTTCGAAGTGTAGAATTTTTCCTTTCAAACAAGATATATATTTGGAAAGTCGGTTGAGGATTGGCTGAGTTACAGCGGTTGAAATGTGAAAAATACGCATAAAAAGACAAAATGTATTTTTCTTCGGACTGTACGATTATATATACGTTTTATTATATTACGGGGAAGAAAATTAAATAAGCTTTCGAAAATGAGAAAAATTAAAAAACTCGTTTAAAAAATGGATGACTTATACACATTTTTGTATTGATTCTACGCATATTCTCTAAAGGAACTATGGGTCTATCTCGTTTCCTTTTGCCTGTTACAAATATAATATGGAAAATATGAATAAGAATAAAAAGTTGGGATAGAGAAATTCATGAGTGGCTTAGTCACAAATCGATAGAGGGTTTTTGGGATCGAGAAATTCATTTCCGATATTTACCACCGACGACCACCGCCATAGGACATTTCATACATATTTAAACTATTTTTCGTCTATTTTCCGAGAAAAATTACAAGTTGTTCGGTATAATTGATAAAAAATCGAATTTTGAATCAAAAACAGTGGACAAAACATAAACATATCAACCCCAAAATCTGGCCCCACTCCAAATTCCAAGACCCATTGATGCGCATCCGAATGCAGGGAAGAAATGTATCAATCGATACCGAAGTACAAAAAAGAAAATAATCTACCAATAGCTTTGAACTGTTTGTAGTATGTTATGTGAAAGCTCGATCACAAAGGAAGACTAAGGCATGACTTGATTTTTGTTCGAGCTTTTGCATCCTGATAGAGCACCAGCATAGAATTAAGAATCAACTATTGGCCTGTTCCAGAATCTACCAGAATGCACAATTTTTTTCTTTTGTGATATCGAATAAAAAAAAACAGTATAGATTTGTAGATTCTTGCAACAAGGAACAGAACAATGTCCCCTAATGTGCCCGCAAATTCACATACCAAATACGTGCTAAGTTGGGGTTTATACATGCAACTTAACTTTTGTAAGCAATTCTGCAGCAGCTCGGCTGAGTTGTTGGGAGAGGGAGGGACATAGTTCCCGATGTGCGCCATATTTGTATTCGACACATTTGCATTGGTTTGCTCAATAAATATCATCACTGAAGTGCATATGTACATTTGACTATTTTCTCTGAGTATGGCAACGCGGCAATGAAAAAAATCTCGAGCCGTCATCATCTTATGTTGGCATGTATTTTAAGAAACGAATCTCATCACGTACACAATCAGGTACTCGGTGGTGCCACTTCGTTGCACAATCAGATACATACATACATATGTCAACAACAACGACCACACAGAGCAGGGATGGAAAATTCAGTACAATAGTACTTTTTTCAGTACCTTTTTACCCAAAAAAGTACCGTAGTACCCCCGTGACCATTTCAGTACCATTCCAATTCTTCATTTAACCATGATATATATATTTTTTTGGATATGGATTCGACCGACAAAAGTATGCAGATAAAGATATTAATATGATTGCAATATTTCTCTTGAAAAAATGAACAGGTTTTCGACTGATAACTGTTCAGTTATGACCAATGAAGCCCATCAGTATACTTTAAAGTAGCTGCCTACTCACACGCATTGTTATGTTGCCTGTCAATCGTTGTTTGACAGGCAACGAATGAACACATGATGGGGTGCGCGCACGACGTTGTGTCCGCACAACTAGAAAATCAACGAAATAACACTTAGGGATAAAAGTGTTTCAGTATATTTGGATTTTTATTTTATTATTCAAAATGCGTTTTGTGTGTTTAAAAATTTTTAAAAACAACAGAACAATTGCTGTTTTTTTGAAAGAATTAAATATTTGATATTTATCGTAGTATTTAATATCAATATTTAGTATTACAATATGATTATTATCTCGGTATATGATACTTTATAATCTTTTTTAGATTTTTGTGACATATCAATTTGTAATTCATATAAAAACATTTTTAATAATGATTTTAATTTATATAATAACAAAAATTAAATTCTTCAATAATTTTTCCGACCACCAAAATGTACACACAATTTTGTTCGGTAATGTTCTGTTTTCTCTCACTCATACTAACGCATTTTAATTTTGGGCACCTATGGTTATGATTAAAATTACAAACATTAAATTAAGTTAATGAGTTCCAATATTTTTTTAAAGGATATGTTTGTCGGAACTCAATTTGGCATACTCTGTGCTATCTCCAGACATTGGAAAATTGATGACGTTCCTAGTCGTCGTTATTACTTCAATAATTTCAAGAGTACTTTGGAACTGAAATTCATGTTAGTTTGGTATAATAATAGAAGGTAACAGCAAGTGTTGTTGTACAAAAAACGATACAACAACCACATGGAAATTTGTTGTTGTAAGTTCTACTAGTGTCAACTCATTTGACAGAAAAATGTAAACAAACAAACAAATTATCATCAAATTATTTTTATTTTGAAAATGAAATATTTTCGAATCCTCAAAATAAAAATTGAAAAACATGAATGAAAATCTATCAAATTTATATTTCTATCGCTTCCACATCTTTCCTATAATTGAGCCATTGCCATATATATGTGTAACACATATGAAAATGCTGGGAATAGCGAGTTATTCCTTGAAGAAAGATTTGCTTTCTCAAACTTTCCCAGCAGGCAGATTGAGTAAATTGAATACAGGAGCACATTTAATAGAGAACAATTTGAAATTGTATGCGTTCCCAATTTTCCTGTTGGGTGATTTTTAAAAACATAATTTGTCAAATTCATATTGACACTAGTATTACGTTGGAATCAAATCAGCTGGGATTTGCTGTTACCTTTTATAATTGTACCATGTTAGTTTGGGTATATTGGCTTTCGAGAAAGAGGTAGTGAAATTAAAATTAGTCAATAGCATACATATTCAAATGCAAT